CTAAGAAAACAATTGTGAGGAGGATGATAAAGCAAAAACACGAGATGTGATGTCTCGCTATAGACAAGTGTCAAAACGTAGGGAAAAAACAAGTGTCTATAAACAGACTCTTAGTAAGACAGACAAGCAGTGTGGCACAGTTAGGTCCTAGTGGTATACCTTATCCTCCTCATCGTCTTCCTTACACCAAAAAGAGTCCCCAATAAAGTTAAGATATACTATAGTACAAAATATGAGTAGTATTCTGTATAAAATGTTTTTTTAAGTTAATATTTTTGGGTGTGTGGAATGGATTAATTTAATTTACAGTATTTCTTATGTGAAAATTTGTTTTGATTTTCAAATTTTTGATTGACGAATCATCCCTGGGAACAGATTAAATGCGTAAACGACGGTACCACTGTACTATTTTAATCACTGGTGCTGTCCTGTCTTGAGTACTGCTCAGTACTCACTTTCCCTTTCAGAGCAGGAGAGATTTCTGAAATAGAGGGATTACAGAGAACCTATATGACACGTATAGAAACGATAAAACATTAAATTATTGGGATCGATTCAAACCTCTCAAAATTGAAAGGAAAGCTCTTGTCTCTGGAAAGAAGACGAGAAAGGTATCAGTTAATATATACATGGAAGATACTGGAGGGCCAGGTCCCAAATTTGAACAGTAGAATAACAACATACTGGAGCAAAAGATACAAGAAGAAATGGAGAATAGAAACAGTGAGAAGTAGAGGTGCCATAGGCCCAATCAGAGAGTACTGACTAAACATCAGAGGGCCACGGCTGTTCAATACTCTCCCAGCAACCATTAAAAATATTGCCAGAACAAAGGTTGATGTCTTCAAGAGGCATTTAGGTAAGTTCTTGCCAGAAGTGCCAGACCAATCGGGTACTAATAGATACGTGGGCCTGTGGGCTGCTCCATACAACAGCTTGTTGGACCAAGTTATCACAAGTTGAGCCTGGCCCCAGGCTGGGCTCGGGGAGTACAGGAACTCTCAAAACCCTCTCCAAGTATGAATCAGGAATGTAATAGAAAGAGTAAAGAACATCACAATAGCCAGAAAAACAAAAACGTTTGAAGTAGGGGAAGAGATTCTGCCACTTAAACTTTTCAGAAAATATATGACCAAGAGATAGTTCTCAAATTGAAAATATGCAAATACAGTGGCACCTTGATTAACGAGCGGCTCTATTTATGAGCATTTCGAGTAACGAGCAAGCCACTTGCAGCAAATTTGTCTCTATTGACGAGCTTCACCTCTATTAACGAGCAAAACCACATGGTGCTTCCTAGCATCTCGCGGGTTCTCGCAAATTCTCGGACGCCTCCGATGCCAGTGTTATTGTTGTATCGCTCACGACAAGCAACCCTCTGGATTTATTTGCGCTTTTTTTGTGGTTTTGTGACTACAATTTGCAACGCACAATGTCGCCAAAGAAGCTGCTTGCTAAAGTCAGTGTTGGGAAGGGGAAGAAAGCGACAATTACCGTGGAAGTGAAGAAGGAAATCATAGTAAACGTGGTGTCCTTGTGACTGATCTCATCAGGGAGTATGGCAGGTCCTCATCAACAATTTGTATCATTTTGAAGAGGAAGGAACAATTTAAGACGCTTGAGGTGGCTAAAGGAGTTACGAAGGTTACCAAGTAACATCCAAAAATCCTAGAAGAGGTTGAAAAGTTACTGCTGCTCTGGATGAATGAAAGGCAATTATATGGTGATAGTGTCTCTGAAGCTCTAGTTTGTGCAAAGGCCAAGAAGTTGTATGTGGACCTTGTCAGGAAGACACCAGGTGCGTCATCTGAAGAGGAGGAGATATTTAAGCAACCCGTTCTCGCAAATTCGTAAAGTCAACATTGACTTGTTAAATAAGTGCATTGGTGACATACTAAACATAATAGATACCCTTAAAAAGCTTCATAGAAAACACCGACCTTACCTAACCATGTTAGTATCTTAAGATAAGCATCTTATAGCTTCGTAATTACAATTGTTACTTAACCTATTATAGGTATAGGTTAAGTAATAATTGCAATTACGAAGCAATAAGATGCTTATCTTAACATACTAACAAGGTTAGGTAAGGTCGGTGTTTTCTATGAAGCTTTTTAAGGGTATCTATTATGTTTAGTATATCACCTATGCACGTAGTTAATAAGTCAATACTGACTTTACGAATTTGCGAGAACAGGTTGATTTAAGGCAAGCTGTGGATGGTTTGAGAAATTTAGGAAGAGAAGCGGTATCCACAGTGTTGTGCGACATGGGGAGGCTGCCAGCTCTGATAAAGCTGCTGCCAAGAAATTTGTACCAAAGTTCCAGGATTTTGTTGCTAGAGAGGAGTTCTTGCCCCAATAAGTTTTAAATTGTGATGTGACTGGCCTGTTTTGGAAGAAAATGACAAAGAGGACCTACATCACACAAGAGGAACAATCTTTGCCTGGCCACAAACCGATGAAGGATTGGCTTACTCTCGTGCTCTGCGCCAATGTAAGTGCCGATTGCACGGTTAAGCCGCTGCTAGTCTACCACTCAGAAAATCCACGCGTGTTCAAGGCGTGTAAAGTGTACAAGGCATGACTGAATGTGATGTGGAGGTTCAAATAAGAAATCCTGGGTCACACGAATATTCTTCACTGAATGGGTCAATGATGTTTTTGGCCCTTCAGTGAGAAAATATCTTGAAGAGAAGCAGTTGCCACTCAAGGGCTTGCTTGTACTCAATAATGCTCCTGCACATCTTCCACAGATGCAAAAAGTATAGTTTCCCGAAAATCAGTTCATCACCATCAAGTTTCTTCCTCCCAATACCACTCCACTCCTCCAACCTATGGACCAGAAAGTCATTGCAAACTTTAACCCTTTAGTTGCGCAAGACATCATATGATGCGTTGAGTGACTTGCAGTAACTTGCGCTAGGCATCATATGATGTTTTGGAGTACCGCGCAAGATTTAAACCACCCCCGCGGATACACGGTGTTCACCACACCTTCATCAGGGCTCTTGTAAACAGACGCCATTTTTTTTTTTAAATCGTGGGCCAAATTTCAGGGTGTGAGGGGCCTCAGTATTGAGTCAGCTACCAAGCCTGATGCACGCAGCATGAGCTCACAGCACTGCTGTTCAGCTTGTGACCACAGCATCGCCTAAAAACGCCATAATATACATGTTCTTGCTATTATTAAGCAATGGTATTATTACTGAAGCCCCCCTGACTGTGATAAAACTGACCAAGGTTCTGATAATAGCAGGATTGTGGTGATATTTAGCATTGTGCTCCATGGAGTGAGGAGTAATGCTGTGGGAGGGAGGGTGGTAGCGTCGTCTTCTGACTGTGTGTGGCCACCTTTTATTGACTGCACTCACCATACCAGCTTAGTGATTCACTATGGTGAACACAAATGTAAATACTTGTATATATAACGTGTGTACAGTGTGTAATAACAGCAATAGGAGTAGGTCGGGAGCTGCCATTTTGGCGAAAGGGCGAGAGTTCAAATGCGTGGGCTCACCAGAATTCAGAAGAGACAGGGAAGAAGAGAGGATTAACGGCTCAAGAAGGCGACCCCGGGTGCTCGTCAGAACATCACCCCAAAGGGAATGACGACAATTGAAATCACCCAGCAGGAGCACAGGCTCCGGCAAGGAGTCCAATAAGTGTTTCAGATCAGGAAGAGAAGGCGGGACACTCGGGGGGAGATAAATGGAACAAACAGTGTACCATTTCCCCACAATGATACGAGCAGCAGAACAATGGAGAGGCGAAGGAAAAAATAAGGGGACAAAGGGAACATCAAAGCGAATCAAGAGAGCAGAAGAGCTAGGAGCCCCAGCAACAGCTGGGGGGGGGGGGGAAGAGAGAAAGGAATAGCCACGAAAGTGACCAGGACGAGCACCAAGCATCGGCTCCTGGAGACAGACACAAAGGGGTGAAAACCGCAAAATCATTAGTTGGAGTTCGAGGAAATTGGCGTAATAACCTTGAACGTTCCATTGAAGAATAGACATCAACGAGAAGAGAAAGGACAACAACAGAGAACAAGGAAGAAACAAAGGCAAAAGAGCAACACAGCACATTAAAGAAGATCAGGGTCGGGATCAGGGTCAGCAAAATCAGGGTTGGGGGGCATGGGTAAACTGAGCAAAGATGGAAAGAAGGAAGCGGGAGAACAGACCAAAGGTGGGTGGGCGGGGTCCGGAGGAGGAGGAGGAAAAGGAGGAGACAACGGAGAGGAGCAGTCAAGGACAGCAGCAGGAAGAGGGGAGCGCACCTCAGCAAGGGCAGCAACAGAGAGGGAAGCGGGGGCCAAAGAAACCTCCATAGCAGGAACAGGGAGCACAACCACCGAAACAGGAGGGAAGGAGCAATAGAGTCAGTAGTAGGGGCCGAGGAAGAAAGCGAAGCCTTCTTACCCGCCGGGGAGGAGGAAGGAGAGGAGCCAGGCTTATGCTTCTAACTTAAAGAGACTGGTGTCCCAGCAACTACATACTGGGCAATGGATTCCAGCGTCTCAACAGAAGCTGAACGAGAGCATACACGACGGCCGTTAGGAGAGTGATGGACATCAGCCCGCATCGACAGGCCGAGGAGAGTCAATAGACGGAGGAGAAGGATGGGAAGGAGGATCGGAGGGAGACGAGGAAGAAGACACAGGGGACATGACAGACTGGGTAGAAAGAAAGGGAACCCCAGACAGAGGACCAGGAGGGGGGACCCTTCGGGACAGAACTCAAAGAGACAGAGGAGGGGGCAGTGGGCGTATCAGGGTCCAACGCCCGGAAACGGTTGTGGGCCTGAGGAAGGTGGGAAGGACGAGGAGAGGAAGAGTGCAACACGCGAGCATAAGAGACGTTAGCATAAGGCGGGAGCCGGCAAACCCGGTGACTTGCCTCAGGAAAAGATAAACGCTCTCGTTGCTTCAAGGTGAGAACGGCTGCCTCAAGCTTGTAATGGATACACGCACGGGAGAAGGTAGGATGGGCCTCACCGCAGTTGAGGCAACGAGCCTGAGGAGAAGTGCACTCCGACTTAAGAGTGACCTTCGCCCCCACACAAAGGACAGAGAGAGACAGTCCCAGAGCAGCGGAGGGCATCATGCCCAAACCTCCAGCACTTGGGGAGGGGTGGGAGCTGAAGAAAAAATTACTTTAGGAATAATAAAAACAAACCTTTGACTTCAAAGAAAAGAAAGTGGCTATTCAACCGAACTAGTTACCGGTTTAACCTCCATCGGGACTACTGTATCCACATGAAGCTTGCTCTTCAGGAGGCCCATATTTGCTTTGGAGAAAGCTTATCAGAGCAACAAAACTCATTCCAGAATTAAGTCAAAATAAGGTGCAGAAAATGACTCGACACAAAGAAACTGCTGTTACTGAATCACTTCTGAACTCTATCAACTACTAAGATTAACTAAATGTAAATTCTATCATGCTTTATATGTCTTACTGTACTTGGTATACATGAAAAGCATTTTAGACACAATATTCAAATGCATTTAAACTGTATGACTCCTCTTGCATTTATTAGATTTGATGTTTGTGAAAAGTATTTTTGACACTCTGAACAGTGATATGGTTTCTCTCAAGTATGAATCCTCATGTGTCTTAGTAGATGTGATTTTTGTGAAAAGCCTTTTTGACACTCTGAACAGTGATATGGCTTCTCTCCTGTATGAATCCTCATGTGTATTATTAGAGCCGATTTTTGTGAAAAAACTTTTTTACACTCTGAACAGTGATATGGTTTCTCCTCTGTATGAATCCTCATGTGTCTTATTAGATTTGCTTTTAGTGAAAAACCATTTTGACACTCTGAACAGTGATATGGGTTATCACCTGTATGAATCCTCATGTGTCTTATTTTACTTGATTTATGTGAGAAGCCTTTTTGACACTCTGAACAGTGATATGGTTTCTCTCCTGTATGGACCCTTGTGTGTCTTATTAGCATTGATTTTTGTGAAAAGCCTTTTTGACACTCTGAACAGTGATATGGTTTCTCTCCTGTATGAATCCTCATATGTGTTATTAGAGATGATTTTTGTGAAAAACTTTTTTGACACTCTGAACAGTAATATGGCTTCTCTCCTGTATGAATCCTCATGTGTTGAATTAGACTTATTTTACTTGAAAAGTCCTTTTGACACTCTGAACAGTGATATGGCTTCTTTCCAGCATGAATCCTCATGTGTGCTATTAAATTTGATGTACTTTTAAAACCTTTTTGACACACTGAACAGTGATATGGTTTCTCTCCTGTATGAATCCTCATGTGTGTTATTAGAGTTGATTTATGTGAAAAACCTTTTTGACACACTGAACAGTAATATGGCTTCTCTCCTGTATGAATCCTCATGTGTCTTATTAGATTTGATTTTAGCAAAAAAACTTTTTGACACACTGAACAGTGATATGATTTACTTCCTGTATGAATCTTCATGTGTGTTATTTGACTTGATTTACGTGAAAAACCTTTTTGACACTCTGAACAGTAATATGGTTTCTCTCCTGTATGAATCCTAATGTGTGTTATTAGAGATGATTTGTTTAAAAAGCCTTTTTGACATACTGAACAGTAATATGGTTTCTCTCCTGTATGAATTCTTGTGTGTGTTATTAGACTTGATTTATGTGAAAAACCTTTTTGACACTCTGAACAGTAATATGGTTTCTTTCTTGTATGAGTCCTCATGTGTGTTATTAGACTTGATTTTTGTGAAAAACCTTTTTGACACTCTGAACAGTAATATGGTTTCTCTCCTGTATGAATCCTAATGTGCGTTATTAGATGTGATTTGTTTAAAAAGCCTTTTTGACATTCTGAACAGTGATATGGTTTCTCACCTGTATGAATCCTCATGTGTCTTATTAGATTTGCTTTTAGTGAAAAACCATTTTGACACTCTGAACAGTGATATGGTTTCTCACCTGTATGAATCCTCATGTGTGTTATTAGCAATGATTTATATTTAAAGTCTTTTAGACATACTCTACAGTGATATGGCTTTTCTTCTGAAGTGGCACTCATTTAAATAAAAAAAAATTTAAAGTAGTTTAGACAATGAATATAAAATATTGATTTTCTTCTCAATAAATGTTTTTGTATGCTATTATGCAAGATGTTTTCATAAAATAATTTGGAGCATACAACACTGATGATGTTTTGCCTTTGAATATATATTTGTAGTTTACTTGAATGTACAGTATAGACCTTTAAAGTTATTTGATCCAAAAACCCTAAGTATCATCTAGTAAAATATCCTACATTTCATTAGTTAGGTCTTATAGACAATTATTATTAGTATTTCTCTCCTAAATAAATTCTTGTATTTTTATACTAGAGAAAAATCTTAGTAACATATTCGTGATGACCTAAACTACATTACCTTTTGTTTATTACTAAAGCAAATATTCTTAAAAGATGCTAAAAACACTTAGACTGTTGGATGCGTAAATAATTCAAGTTACTACATGGCTATCAGTATAGAGCAACCAGAATAGAGCACCCAGGTCATAGTATCACCTCTGTTGTCAACAGATGGTAATCAATATCAAGCAGTTGGAATAATCTAATTCTCTTTTGTAGTAATACAAAGCAATTTAATTACTTGTCAAAGAAACAAAAGAATGGAAAAATTGTACAATATGTAAGCCACTGGTATCATTCATAAATAGTAACATAATACTGTGCTTATTATATTAGAAAATATGCAAGAGTAAAATATACTCTACAATGTTTCCCTTGAATCAGCAAGTGTAAAAGCAAACAGCCAAGTGTACTTTTCCACATTTGTTCACCAGCATAAAAGTTTGTGTCTGTGTACAGCTTTGTAAAAATGCCAAACAAATCCTGTGGCAAGATTTTTCTTTGTTTAAGATTTAACTAAATGTCTTTGTATCGTAAACAAAATATATTATATATACAGTATTATGTTATATATAAGTATGTCTCATCATAAATATAGCTCTAGCACTGAAGGAAGTTTCATTATACATACAGGAACAGCACTGAGGGATGTCTTATTATAAATACAGCCACAATACTGAGATGTCTCATTATAAACAAAATTACAGAACTGAGAAATGCCTTATTATAAATACTGTATAACCATAGAATTTGGGATGGATGTCTTATTACAAGTATAACCACAGAACTAAGGGATGTCTTATTATAAATACCCACAGAACTGATGGATGTCTTATTATAAATATAGCCACAGCACAAGGGTCAGGTATAATGGGCCATCATGTGTTTTGTCATTTCTGTAAATACGTATGTGTGTGTGATTTTAACAAGAAATTACCAATACAATGTACTATGTGCATACTGATAATATTTTTAAATCGCCTATATCTTAATGTTAATACGTAAATACATAAATAAATTCTGAGCATTAAGAACACACATATATTGTCTTACTTGGTGAGCCTTTTGAGCTTAGAGAGTAATTTACCTAATAAAAAAATCATAATTACCACACAGAATAAGGATTATTTATTTGTTAATGCTCCCTCAACATTTACAATAGCTCACTTAGGAGAAAAAGTGTGTAATGTTTTAAAATGGAAAATATATATTAAACTTTTTTACATTAGGACCTGAGGATAAAAGTACCCTATAAAAATAAATAATTCAAAAGTATTAACAACATAAATAGCACATGCACATACATTAATAAATACTGAGATTTTAAAATTAATGATACACCAAATTTGTATTTAAATACACATTTCCTTTGTTGCCATAGTGCTTGAGATGTTGATAATACATGTAGTCATTCACATGAGTGTGCTCAAGACAGTCTTACCCATCTACATGTAATATTTCTTACACCATAATGAGTTTCATGATGCTGCTGACAACAACATGTATTATATCTGACACTGTGCTTCATGTCAGTAATGACATATCATGTATGCAGTATATGTGACACTTACATGAGCTCTAATGCTACTGGGTGTTGGCACTGCAGGTATTATTCTTTTGCTGACAGTAGGAGCTGTGAAAGAAAAAGAGCGAGAGATTACCAAGTCATTAAAGTCAACAAATACAAAATACAGATTCTTTGAAATCTAGTAAAGAGTTCCCAAATGGGATTTTTTGTTAGTATTCCAATACCGGAAAGTTTCTTCTGCAATAAAGCCAGCGCTGAATTGCAGAATAGAGCCTATGAACGGCAGAGGGTGCAATAGGCCCAATCAGAGAACACTGTATAAACATAATAGGTCCACGCTTGTTCAACATCCTTCCAGCGAGTGTAAAGAATATTGCCAGAACAACTGTGGACATCTTCAAGAGAAAACTAGATAATATTCATCAAGAAGTGCCGGAACAACCATGGACATTTTCAAGAGAAAACTAGATAATTTTCATCAAGAAGTGCCGGACCAACCAGGCTGTGGGCCACTCCAAGCAACAGCCTGTTGAACCAAGCTCTTACAAGTAAAGCGAAAATCTCCCAGAACCCCCATCAAGCAGGTGTTAACCCTTAGACCGCACATATTACCACGAATAAAGGGGGGCATAGGAGCGAAAAATATTTTAATTATGTAAAAATAACTTAAAAATTTGAAACAAATCTAACTTATTGGATTCAGTGTCGTGAAACTTTTATCAAAATATTTTCAGAAATTGATTTTAGATGAATTTTTGAAAAATAAGAACGTTTTATTGATAAGAACAGCTCTTAATAACTGGAACTGAAGAATTATGCAGTAATAAAGAGATGCAAGCACCGGTCCTATGCTCAAAGAAGAATAGTAGTAAGAAGTGTCCACAAAGTGGATATGCAGTTGGTGCCTATTATTGCTGACTAATACATAATAACACAAATAATAATTAATAACTATGTTAAAATGATCTATTTTGTTATCATATAAATACACTGAACAATGTTAATATATGTTGCTTCCATCAATGTCCCAAAAATATTTTTTTAGGGGATTTTTTTTTTATTTTAGTTTTTTCTCCTTTGTTTATTATCTGATTTTGTTGTAACCTTTACATCATGGAGAATGCGTATGATTTCAAAACAATGTGAAGATAAAATGAAATTGGTCAAGAAATAAATCAGTCACAGCTCGCAAAACTTGAGACTTTTAATTTTTTTGGCAGATTGTTTCTCTGATTTAAAACTATTTTTTTGGTCTCTTTATGTTATTTTGATGATTAGGGACCATATTAGAGCTTTTTCACATATATATAAAGTACAGTATACCCCTAAATATATTTCCTAAATCATTATAATTATTATAATTATCTGTATATTTTGTTTTTTAGGGGTTATTTTTCCTTAACTTCATTTCAACACATATTGACCTACAACTTTCACATACTCGAGTACGAATGTCAAACAATGTTTATTAAAACATACAATTAAATTCACGAATTAAAACTACTGTACCTTTATTCATTGTTGATAACTTCAACTTCGATTATCTCTGAAACCAGAGTTTCAACTTTGAGTGACTTCTAAAATTCCAGATATTAACCGATTCTCACTATTTTGACATATTGTGTGCTCAGCTGTCTGTTCTACAATCCCATGGATTTTTCATAAATTTTATACATTTGGAGTTATAATTTTTTTTTTGGTCTAAATTTGCCACATATTTCAAATGCCCTACAGACGATTTTTTTTACAGTAAACTATACTGAAAACCTATATTCTAATTTGATGAAAATGAAGATCAAATGTTATTCTGAGAGAATAATAACATTAAATGAACAATTAATGATAGTTCATATTTTTTTATTCTGAATTGAAAATCTGAAGTTTTCAAGGTTAAATTTTAAAATAAATTTTGACTGTCTTGTTTTTCAAGTTATGCTGTGATCATTTAGGCAAAGTTGGAGCATTTGCCTAGAAGATTATGCAAAAATCCAGTGTTGAATGTAATGAAACGCCATTTTCTGGGAGAGACCCGGAGGCTCCCCGGAGCTATCCCAGGCTGATATGCTAATGTCAGACTTTGGCATCAGTCATGTGTATGGAGTTCTTAGGCCTACCGGGGACCACGGCCAGAACCGGGCCCCCTCAGAGAGGCAAGGGGAGTAATGGCCTATAGAAACCCCCGTGTGGTTGGAAGCATCCTATGTCTGCCATCGACCGGGACAGGCACCCAGAAAGGTAAGGGCCTCAAAACAAACCCCTATTCTGGTTAAAATTGCTACCAAAAGCCGAACTAGTGGATAGAACTCCCCAACAGAAAAACAAGCAAACTAGTATGACGTCACGTCACCGCGCCGCTGTCTGCGCAGCTCCCCCCTCCCCGGGAGGGGGAAGGGGAGCCCCAGACCTCCCACGTCGGCTATCCACCCATCAGTTCTGAGGCTGGATGTCAAAACACGTGAAAAACCACCGACCGGAGAGAGGGAGGGTTGCCGGGAAGCCTCCGGGTCTCACCCAGAAAATGGCGTTTCATTACATTCAACGCTGGTTTTCTGGGGGGAGCCCCGTCGGCTCCTCGGAGCTAACTACCCACAGAGGAAGATCAAAGGGACGGAACCGGGAGGCGGACACCATGCACCCCCCACGGAAGCGAGACAACTGGCAGCAATGCCAACCCAAGGCGCCACAGCCCCGAAAAAATCCACTTAATCCACGCCTTAATCCACTTGGGGTGGTTCAAATAGCTTAGGCTATCACCTCATTATGTCCGGTCGTGATGGTCAAGTGGATTAAGACGTCTTGTACATACCAGTTGCGTTGCTCCTGGGAGTATGGGTTCGAGTCACTTCTGGGGTGTGAGTTTTCAGTTGCATATTGTCCTGGGGACCATTCAGGCTTGTTCGCATTTGTGTTCCTCACGTGTGCCCCAAAGAATGAGGTGATTTGGTAAAATGCTATGCCCAAGATTACTATCCGAGTGCCAGCGGTGGGGTGGTTCAAATAGCCTCGGCTATCACCTCATTTTGTCCGGTCGTGATGGTCAAGTGGATTAAGGCGTCTTGTACATACCAGTTGCGTTGCTTCTGGGAGTATGGGTTCGAGTCACTTCTGGGGTGAGAGTTTTCAGTTGCGTATTGTCCTGGGGACCATTCAGGCTTGTTCGCATTTGTGTTCCTCACGTGTGCCCCAAAGAATGAGGTGATTTGGTAAAATGCTATGCCCAAGATTACTATCCGAGTGCCGGCGGTGGGGTGGTTCAAATAGCCTCGGCTATCACCTCATTTTGTCCGGTCGTGATGGTCAAGTGGATTAAGGCGTCTTGTACATACCAGTTGCGTTGCTTCTGGGAGTATGGGTTCGAGTCACTTCTGGGGTGTGAGTTTTCAGTTGCATATTGTCCTGGGGACCATTCAGGCTTGTTCGCATTTGTGTTCCTCACGTGTGCCCCAAAGAATGAGGTGATTTGGCAAAATGCTATGCCCAAGATTACTATCCGAGTGCCGGCGGTGGGGTGGTTCAAATAGCCTCGGCTATCACCTCATTTTGTCCGGTCGTGATGGTCAAGTGGATTAAGGCGTCTTGTACATACCAGTTGCGTTGCTTCTGGGAGTATGGGTTCGAGTCACTTCTGGGGTGTGAGTTTTCAGTTGCATATTGTCCTGGGGACCATTCAGGCTTGTTCGCATTTGTGTTCCTCACGTGTGCCCCAAAGAATGAGGTGATTTGGTAAAATGCTATGCCCAAGATTACTATCCGAGTGCTGGCGGTGGGGTGGTTCAAATAGCCTCGGCTATCACCTCATTTTGTCCGGTCGTGATGGTCAAGTGGATTAAGGCGTCTTGTACATACCAGTTGCGTTGCTTCTGGGAGTATGGGTTCGAGTCACTTCTGGGGTGTGAGTTTTCAGTTGCATATTGTCCTGGGGACCATTCAGGCTTGTTCGCATTTGTGTTCCTCACGTGTGCCCCAAAGAATGAGGTGATTTGGTAAAATGCTATGCCCAAGATTACTATCCGAGTGCCGGCGGTGGGGTGGTTCAAATAGCCTCGGCTATCACCTCATTTTGTCCGGTCGTGATGGTCAAGTGGATTAAGGCGTCTTCTACATACCAGTTGCGTTGCTTCTGGGAGTATGGGTTCGAGTCACTTCTGGGGTGTGAGTTTTCAGTTGCATATTGTCCTGGGGACCATTCAGGCTTGTTCGCATTTGTGTTCCTCACGTGTGCCCCAAAGAATGAGGTGATTTGGTAAAATGCTATGCCCAAGATTACTATCCGAGTGCCGGCGGTGGGATGGTTCAAATAGCCTCGGCTATCACCTCGTTTTGTCCGGTCGTGATGGTCAAGTGGATTAAGGCGTCTTGTACATACCAGTTGCGTTGCTTCTGGGAGTATGGGTTCGAGTCACTTCTGGGGTGTGAGTTTTCAGTTTTATATATATATATATATATATATATGCAAACAAGCCTGAATGGTCCCCAGGACAAATTGCAACTGAAAACAATTGTGAGTTTTCTCACAATTTCTCACAATTTTCTCACAATCTCACAATTGTGAGATCTGGGGTGTGAGTTTTCAGTTATATATATATATATATATATATATATATATATATATATATATATATATATATATATATATATATATATATATATATATATATATATATTAGTATATTTTGGCAGCAGTCTTTCCTGTAGACATATATTATTAAATATGACCGAAAAAGTAAGATTAATAATTCTAACACGAATTTTCTCAATCTTTCGTACATTTCTTATCACTGTTGGAGGTAATTCAAAAATCAATTCTCCAAAATTCATTTATATTTCTAGTCTGACGCGACACGAGCGCGTTTCGTAAAAGTTATTACATTTTCAAAGACTTTTTAATTTACAAATACACAACTGAATAGAACTTACGCATCTCCGATTTTGTTTATATCTACATTTGAGTGAGGTGGATGGGGTGAGGTGGCATTAATAGGGTATTAATTTCATCAACACAAGACAGAACAAGAGGTGGCATTAATAGGGTATTAATTTCATCAACACAAGACAGAACACGAAACAATGGGTATTGAAATGGAAGTCATTGTAGAAAGCCTATT